ATGGGCAGAATAAAAGTTTGGCGGCGGCGGCGCCCAATGGCAACAGCAGCAGCAACTCCTGGGAGGAGGGCAGCTCGGGCTCGTCGAGCGACGAGGAGCACGGTAGGTGGCCGGCTGTCCCGGGGGGCCCCGTGCCCGGCGCGTCCCCCGCCCGCTGACCGCCCGCTCTGCTTCCCCCGCAGGTGGCGGCGGCATGAGGGTCGGCCCCCAGTACCAGGCGGCGGTGCCCGACTTCGACCCCGGTGAGTAGCGCCCCGGGCCGGGGCCGCGCTGAGACCCCCGGGGGCTGCCAGGCCGGCCGGCAACTTTTCTTTTTGTGTGTGTTTGTGTGTGTGTCCTCTCCGCGGTCCGCGGGGAGAAGAGCCCCGTAAGGCCCCGAAGGGCACGGGACGGGGTACCAACGCTGGGGCCCTCGCCGCGCCACACCTGACAGGGAGGGGGCAGGGCGGGCCGGGCCAGGTGAGCCGCGCCCCTGCCCGCGGGGGGTCGGGCTGTCGGGGACGGAGAGTTAGTGTCCCTCGGCAAGAGAGAGAGGGCGTCACGGAGCATCCCCCGCCCCGACGCCGGCCTTTTCCCAAGGGTGTTCCCCACGCCTGCCCTCCTCTTGCCAGACCCTGCGCGCTGGCTGGCTCCTGACTCCCTCCCACTTGGCGAGGGCGACCCCCCAACATCGGCCAATAAAATAAATGAGCGTGCGCCGAGGACGCGGGCCCGGGGTTGAGCTCGCGGGGCCCGTTCGATGTTCGGACCTGGCCGTGCCCGCGCGTGGGCTCCCCTTTTTTCTGCAAGGCGATGGGGTGGGGGGTTTGGGGAAGAGTGGAGGCAGCAGCAGCTGCGCCCGCCCCACCAGTGCGCCCTCCCCCAAGTCAGCCTTCCAGACCCCCGAATAGAACATCCGCTCCTTTGGCTGCTCCTCTGCCGGCAAGCCGGTGGCAAGTGGTAAAGAACAGAAATCCAATCAGACAAAGGAATTCGTCGGATTTGAATGCCGAGAGACTCGGGCCCGGCCCCATCCGAGCCTGTCTCCGAAGGGGGTTAGTATAGAAGAGGTTTGAAAGGACGTGGGTTTCCGCGTAGAAATGACATTCCCAAGAGGAGCGTGTGGACCGGACTTCCACGTTCTCCTGGTTGGAGGGGCTCCCTCCGGGCAACGGCACTCGTTTATTTGGAAGAAAGAAGGGCGTCGTTTCCCCCCCACCTCCCTCCCTGGGAAACAAGACTGCAGAAAATGACAAGATTCTAGTCCTATGAGAAAGGTGATCTTCTGTAAGCCTTTATTGAGGTTCTGAACTTTGCATGTTCTTTGAAGTGAAAAGCGCTTAGGGACCCCGGGTGAGCCAGAGGACACTCAGAAAGGTAGGACTATATCCACATTTGCTTTCGACATTTTGGTCTGAAGTCTCTGAAATACAGATGGTTTAGCATCCAGGTTTGTAGTTCTTTGAAACCCATGTTAATCTTTCTAGTAGGTCTCCGCGCCCCGCCCCCCCCTTTTGGGGAGGCATCACTTGTCATTGGTAGTATTGACAGCACAGGAGTTGGTGGCCAGGCCTTTTCCCTTCCTTGTTGCGGATTCCATTCCTGGGGTGACCACCAGGGGAAGTAGACTGGTTCTGGTTCCTTTACAGTCCATCTTTGCTTTAAGACACAGAACCTAGAATTTGTCACCGTTTATCCCCAGATGCTTAAAAATTTTTTCCTTTTTAAACATAACAAAACAACAAAAACCTCTCCAAGTCTCTTAGTAAGTTTGGGCGCATTCTAGCTAGATGGATTTTTGAAAGCTTTTCCTTCAGTACGAGGAAGATCAGGCTTCCTTATTTGATGCCAGCCGGACATGAGGGTTTCAGTGGTCTTCAAAGTATGGACTGGAGTTGTTGGGAAGGAGCCTGGCCTCTTTGGAGTTGCATACTTGTCATTGGAGCAGCACGCGTAGCAGGACTATGGTTTGATCTGCCCTTGCACTTCCTGATGGAGCATGGGTAAGCATAAATGCATGGTAGAGACCTCCCATTTTGAACAATTCTGCATTGACTTCCTGCTAATCGATAAGACTTTGGGAAGAACACTTCCCAGCTTTCTGATTTTGTTTGTTTTAACCTGGGAAGGGCTCTAACTGGCATGAAGCTGAGTTCAGCCTGTGTTTTTGCTAATCTGAGCAGCTGGAAATGGTGATACTATTTCCTAGTACTTTTGAGGTGTGTCCACATTTAACTTAAAATCTCAGGGAGAGACCTTCTCCTTTAGAACTATAAACGGCAGTGTGTGTTTTTGTTTCATAGCCAACATTTTTTTTAAGGACTCCAAACTTAAAAGGAAGGGTTCTTCCCTTGAATAAGAGTCAGGAATAAAATAGAATTGAGATGTGATTGTTAATATTGAGTCTGTTTGTAAACACACCCCCCCCTACCCCACCAAGAATTTTGAGTGGAATTTGAACAGTCGTGTGGTTGCAAAATTCATCAAAAGCATTTCTTTTTCTCTTGTTTTTTAAACTACATGTCTGGGAAAGGTATGTGTGTGAGTGGGAGACATTGATATATATGTTTTTTAAGTCAGAATTTTGCTTATCCTTGGTATCTCAACCCAAACCCTGTTCCCTTGCAACCACTGATGGTTGGTCTAGGACTACCTGCTTGTTGGCTCCTAGTCAAAGGAAGAGTCAATTCTTCCACCCCTCTGCAGTAGTGGTGGAGGTAGATAAAGTGCCGTGGTTCTAACATGCTGATTCCGTCCTTAGGACAGGACTGCATCCGTGGAGTACGGCAGAACTTAGTGATTAAATGCCAAATACAAGAAACACGTCTTAGCACTGAAGAGTTGAACCAAAAGGCTTGAGTGCAGTGGCGTGACACAGGCTTTGCTCACACCATGTGATGTCCCCATCGCCTTTACTCTGTGGTGTGAGTCTAATGCTAAGTTGTTGCTAGTTTTTGTTAGCATTTAATCCTGATAGAATAGGAGTCCTAGTGGCATAGTGGTTACAAGCTGGACTGCTAACTGCAAGGTCAGCAGTTCAAAAACAGCAGCTGCTCCTTGGGCGAAAGATAGGGCTTTCTACTCCTGTAGAATTACAGTTTCAGAAACCCACAAGGGCAGGGAACCTACCCTGTTCTATAGGGTCACTATGAGTCATCATCAACTCGACAGCAGAGAGTTTGGAGTGCTTACTCTATTTCTGGGTAATCCTTTCACTTACTGCCAGTGAGTCCATTCTAACTCCTAGCCACCCTTTAGGGTGGGGTAGAACTGCCCCTGTGGATTACTGGGACAGAATCTTTATGGGAATAGACACTTTGTTCCTTGCAGCAGCTAGTGGTCGCAATCTGCTGACGGACTAAGGACTAAGTAACAGACTAAAGACTACGCCACCAGGGCTGCTTCCCGCCTTTATCAAAGCATCATCTGTTTAGATAAGCAGCTGACACCAAACGCACTGCCCCTGCATCGATGCTGATTTGTTGTGAGCCTATATAGGGTGAGGTGGCACATCTTGATGGGAGCAGACAGTCTCATCTCTCTATGAGGGGTGTGGCTGGTGAACCACTGACCCTGCACTCAGCAGCCCAGTGCTTAACCCGTAGCACCACCAAGGATCATTACCAATAAGCATGCAGTGGAAACCTCTCCAACCTGTTTATTTGGTTCTCTCCCATTTTACTGTCTTCATTTTACTACAGGAGCACAGTGATGGGAAGGTTGGCTCAACTTCTGTTTCCTAAAGCATATGTGTATTGGTTAAGTTTTATTCCACATTGGTCTTTTTTAGTGTCATGGTTTACTAATATAAAAATAAGATTCTCTGAGGAGAGGATTATTTTCTTCCAGGAGCTTTATGGTTTTGATGGTTGCACATAGGTCCTTGATCCAGTCTGATTTCGTTTTTGTGTATGGTGAGGTATGGACCTACTTCATTTTCTGTAGGTGGGAATCCAAGTGTGCCAGCACCATTTGTTGAAGGGATGGTGCCTTTTCACTTGAGTGTACTTGGCACTCTTGGCATTAGTTGTTACTGGTGACTTTTGAGGCAATAATAAAACAAAACCCTTACTTTGAACATTTAGTAATGTACACATCTAATCAGATTTGTCTTTGGCTTACTTGTAACGAGAGTGGACTTGTGTTAGAAAAAGTCTTGTGTGGCAGGTGGAATTGATGATTTTACTAAACAGAGTCCTTTGGCCTGCTTTTCATTTGTTGTCCCTGGTGATCGACGCTCCTTTTTGGAGTCATGCTTCTTTTTAGTTTTATTGTAGAAACCAAATTTTTGGAGCTATCCTAGAATCCATAACCCATCGGGAATGCTTCGTGATGTATGGGTCCTTTAGCGCTGTGTTCACCCTATGGCAAGGTCAGAGTTTTCAGCAGGCCCTACCTACCCTCCATCCTGTGAGTGGTGAGGATTATTAAGCAGTGTGGTAGAGAGACACCAAACCTGCTTGTCAGGAGACTGGGTATCTTGTCTCTGTGACTGACTGGTCACTTCACCGTCAGAAGCCTCATTTCCTCAACAACGATAAGAGATTTTTGTCACACTGAAGAGTCTATGATCGTGGCAGAGAATATAGGCACTCCTCACTCACATGGTGTTTAGGTCATAATGCAAAAGGCGGTGTTCTCCTATAGGACCAGTGGTATGAGTGGCAAAACAGGGTGGGTAAAGGGAGAATGGGTAGGAAAGAGGGAACCGATTACATGGAACTGTGTGTGACCTCCTCCCTGGGGGACAGACAATCAAA